TGAGGCTTTGGGTCGGCGGGGGGCGGGATGGGAAGGGAAGAAGGTGAGCCCTGGCCTCTGGGGCAGAGGCGCCCCCGTGCTGACCTCTGGCTGGAGCTGGACTTGTCCCGAAGGCAGTGGGCAGCTGAGGGGGAGTGTTGCGGGGAGAGGGTCTGGTCAGAGCTGTGATTTAGAAGGGTTCCCGCAGTGCCAGGGAGGAGGATGAGGGCTGGGATGAGGCAGGGCTGGGTGACGTGTGGCAAGAGGTTAGGGACTGGAGCTTCCTCTCCATGAGGACTCAGAATCTGTGGGTGGACCTAGCCCTGTTCCCAAGGGGGGAGTCTTCATCCCAAGACTCCCTCTTGGTGTTTCCCCAACCCCTCTGGCCCTGTGTAACCACAGGACCCCATGGTTCTTCTCTTTATCCCTCACCATGAGTGCTGGGACCCTGAGAACCAAGGACGTCTGAAGGACTTGGCATTCCTAGAACTTAGAGCAAAAAGCCTGGGTGGGAGCCCCACCAGACTCTGTGGGCTGGAGCCCCACTGAGCTGAGCAGTGGGGAGTGGAAGGTAGAAACTGGCTCTGCAGACAGATGGATGGGCTCCGGTGCAGTCCTTGCATCTGCCGCCCGTGTGGTCTTGTGCGGATTAGCCAACCACTCTGTGCCTGGCTTTCTCATCAGTAAGGTAGGCTAATCCTACCCAAAAGATTTCCTTTGGGAAGCCTTCTGGAGCCTGGGCAGTGAAGGCTCCCTGCTGGGACCCCCTGGCCCACAGCAGTGGCCTGCTGCTGCTGTTTAAGGCCTCTCTCCTCCCTGCACCTTGAGGGCAGGAGCTGTCTTTCTCATTTCCCACAGTTGCTCCAGAGCCAGTCACATAGAAGGTGCTCGGCTGACATGTTGACTGAAAGAGTTACATAAATAGCACTTTGTTTTCACAGTGACAGCTGGGCTGAGCAGCGTAGAGTGTATCATATCACTTAAACTTGACCGTGTATGAGGCTGTGCTGTATTTTACAGATGAGGGTCCTAACTCTCAGGTGGGGTAAATGACTTGCCCAAAGTCACAGAGCTGGGAAGCAGCTTCACTTGCCCCCAGGTAGACCTGGTTCCCAAGCTTCCTAAGCCTGAGCATTCAGCAGAGGGCTTGGGGTGCAGCAGGAGCTTATAAAAGCCATTTCTTCCTCTGCTGTCGTCCCTGCTCATACAGCCTCGACCTGTGATGTCCCTACCCAGACTGCAAGGCTACCTGTCCTGCCCCAAATCACCTCAGTTCTCCCCCAAAACTTTTGCATGGCCCAGTGGCTAAAAGAACAAACTTTGGGATGTTTCAGTTTTGCAGATGGGCTGCTCCTCAGTTGGAGCTGTGTGGAAGCCCTGCTTTCATGCAGTTTTCGTATATTCGGTCATTCTTTTAGCAAACACAAGCTAAGACCTGCTCTGTGGGGAGAGCAGAATTATTATAACTTTTTTTCCAGCAAACATTTAGTAGGTGCCTAGGGTGCCAGATGTGGTGGGGGGCTAAGGACGAAGCAGCAGCTGGGCGGGGGGAGCGATCCAGGTAAGGGAGTCCCCCAGTGAGTGGCCAGGAGGGGGCTGAGGAAGTTTGGTGCACCCTGGAGGGAGAGGGCCTCAGGGGGGAGAGATCACGTTTGGTGGAAAGAGAGAAGGTAGATGGCTGAGTTTGAGCTGCTGTTGGGGGGTGGTGGGTAGAGGTGGCTGAGGTGGCAGTTTCCCCCTGGCTCCCCCTGTTGGCAAAGCCTGGCATGAAATAGAGTCGGAGAGTCCCCACCACCATCACAGAGCCGGACAGAGAAAGGTACATTCGGAGCTGAGAGACAGTAACTTAACAGTTGGCCAGAGGAGAAGCATTAGGATAGCTGAGGTGTTGGGAACAGCCTTATGAGCGGCCGGGGGAGGGAAAAGAAGGTACGCAGCCTTGTTACTGAAGTGTAGCTAATTCTCGTCCCAGAGAGCCTGGCTGTCGGTGGAGAACGTGGACCTGGTCGGCCTAGGTGCCAGGGAGCCAGTGCAGGCCGTTGAGCAGGGCAGAGGCGTAGGGCCGAGGCCTCAGGCTCGGTGCCCAGATCGGGGGAGTGGTCCGGGCAAGGCGGTCAGCCTGGAGAGGGCATGAACATCCGAGGCAGATGTCCAGGAGAAGACCCGGGTCGGGAGGGGGATTCTGGCGCCCAGCACACGCAGCGGTCAGGGTGTGAGGAGGCCAAGGCCCGAGCTGGAGGGTGCGGGCGCGGACCCGCTGGGGGAGCCCCTCCTGGCGGCGAGGCGGACCTTCACGGAGGCGCTTTCCTCCTGTCCGAAGCCTCCAGTCCCCTCCCCAGCTCCCACCCAGCCGGTCCCGCCTCCCGCGTCCCCGCGCTCCTCAGTCGGACTGACCCCTCCCCCACCTTCCCCTCTGGGCACCGTAGTCCCCCTCGGCCCCTCGGCCTCTCCCGCGTCGGGGCCGCGGCGACCGGGCCGCAGGGGGGAGAGGAGGGAGCCCGGCCCGCCGCCCGCAGAGGGAGGAGCCGGGCCGCGGAGGAGGCGGGGCGCGCGGAGCGGCCGTGGCATGGAGCGAGCCCGGCGCGCCCGGGAGCGCAGCCCCGCGGCCCCGGAGCCCTGAGCGGGCGCGGCTCGTGCGCTGGCGGGAGCGGGCCGGGCGCGGCGGCGCGGCCCATGGAGCGGCCCCGGGCCGGGCCCCCGGAGGGCGGGCGGGCGGCCGCGGCGGGCGGCGGGCGGCGGGCGCTGCGGCGGCGGCTGCGGTGAGGCCGGCGGCGGGGCCGGGCCGCGCGCCATGGAGGCCCCGGGCGCCGGCTTCGCGTGCCCGCTGCCCCCCGGCATCGCGTCCGTCACCTACGTGTTCGTCTACAGCCCGAGCGGTCCCGGCGGCCCCGGCGGCCCCGGTCCCGCGCCCGGCCCTGGCCCGGCGCCCCCCGCGGCCCCAGCCGCTCCGCGGCATGTGGGATCTTCCCGAAACGGGGCACGAACCCGCGTCTCCTGCATCGGCAGGGGGGGGGGGCGCGGCGCGGGGCCTCCTGGGGTTCGCGGGCGCCACTCTGGGGTGCCCGGCCCGGCTTCCCGGCGACCGTGGAGGGGCTGATGCCATTTTGGGGCCTCTGTTATTAGGGGTGTCCCTGGGAACTCTGAGTCGCCGTGGTCATTATGGGATGCATCTGCCACTGGGGATTCCTTGTGTCACTGTGAAGGGCTCTGTCAGGGAGGGGTGTCTGTCTTTATGGGGTTCCTGTCGTGGGTCCCTCTCCATCCTCTGTCATTTTGGGTTTTCCGTGTCACAACAGAAGCTCCTCTCGTCATGGGGGTGTTTCTGTGTCATGCTCGGGGCTGGTGGTGGTGGGGTTCTCTGTGTTCGTAGGACCTTATCCTATTACAGAGCTTCCTTGAATTATGGGGTTCCTGTGTCACTTCTGGGACTTTCTTCATTGGAAACGCTTGTGATGTGTGGGAATTATCTGCCATTCTGGGGGTATCTGTGGCAGTTAATGTGGGTGTCTGTGATGAGGGGGTCCTGTGCCATGACAAGCTCCTTGCATTACGAGGGTCTCTGTCATCACTGGGGTCCTCACCTCATGAGCGCTCTCTGCCTAAGAAAGACACAGTTGCGAGGGTCAGCTCTCCATGGCCTATCATGTGGCCTAATCCCCTGGCCGCAGCACAGTGACCCTGAGCTCTTGGCCGTGACCCCTGGGGTGGGCGACAGAGCAAGGTTGGTTGGGGGTTGGTTGAAGAGGTGGGAGGAGAGGGGTCAGCTGGGAGGGCAGGAGTAGGATTGTGGCCCCTGCCTCTGCCTCCTGTCCCCCCCTCGAGTGTGTCCATCTGTGCGTCTCTCTGTCCCCCACATGCCCATCCTGTGCTGTGCCCATCTGTTCTTTTCTGTCTTCTGTGTGGATCCCAAAATTTTCCCAGGGAAAAAGACAGGAGGATGAAGGAAGGGACGGGAAGAGAAGGAGAGACGTGAAGGGTGGGTGGGCAGAGCCTGAGCCCGAGGAGGTGGAGGTGGGGCTGGTGGTGCTGGTGGGAGAGGTGTGGCCCTCCGGCCGGCCTCCTCCGCCCTGACAGCCCGTCTGGCTTCTGTCCCTCCAGTGCTCAGCATTGGGGAGGGCGGTTTTTGGGAGGGGACCGTGAAAGGCCGCACAGGCTGGTTCCCGGCTGACTGCGTGGAGGAGGTGCAGATGAGACAGTATGACACGCGGCACGGTGAGTGACCCCTGCATCCCCTGCGTGGCCCCTGAGGGTGCCGCCCCTTCCAGCTTCCCGTTGGTCTTGCTTGGAGGCAGATCCTCATTGTATACACAGAGAAAAGGCTAGAACAAACTCAAACACACGTTCGAAGTAGGTGCAAACTCGTGTACATGACAGACACGGTACGCGTTCACCCCATACTTACCAACACACACGTGTGCATCTGGATCCTGGACAGCTGTGGAGACACGTGTGATGTGCGCGCCCATGGGACGCGCACGTATGAACGTGCACCAGTCTGTGATCCCACATGTGGCTCTCAGTGACCACAACCCTTCCCAGACATGGTTCTCACAGAAATGCTGGGTGCTTGGAGTGTGTGATTGCTGTGTGGCTGGCAGACAAGTAAAGAGGTCAGTATGAGAAAAGAGGCATCTTTCCAAAGTGGACAGATTGTCCAAGTGGGCAGTGCAGGGAGGCCTGGGCCAGCCAAAAGGAAATGAGGCCAGTTGGGCCCAGAGGGGCTGTCATGGGTGCCCCTGGGGCCAGGATGGTCTGAGGGCAGCAGGTGGGGGATGGCTGCATCCTTAGCCTGCAGGGAGGACGTGAGGGCAAAGGCCGTGGCTCCTGGGGCTGGTGAGCAGCCTCGGTCCGACCCTGCTCACCACCTGAACCTCCAGGAAGGACCCCTCTGGGAGTTGGGATCTGAGGTGGTCCTGCCGGTGGAAAGGAGCGGCTGGTTCTTTCAAGACCCCAGCCAGGGCTGACTGCGCACCCAGGAGGCCCCTCGACCCGCAGGTATTATTTCTGGCCCCGAGAGCTGGTGGGACAAGGGAGCCCCCCTCCTGAGTGGTGGCTAAGTGGTGGTCACTAGTGGTGTCTCTGGACCCAGGGTGCATACCTCTGTCTTTCTGCACATGAAGGACTCAGACCCAGGGTTGCTGTGCTCCCTTATCCTGGGTTGCGGGTTTCCCCAGGGGAGCCCACCCCTGTGTGGCCTGGACCCCTGCCCTGGGTGGAGCGTGGCAGAGCCCAGGGAAGCAGGAGTGTGGCCGCTGATCCACTCCTGAGCAGGAGCCTTTACTTTTTTTTTTTAAGTTTTACTTATTTATTTATTTTTATTGGAGTATAATTGCTTCACAGTGGAGCCTTTACTCTCATACCTGGCTGTTCACACCGCCTCACCCTGACGGCTCTCCTTGCGGTTGGGAGCCTGGGAGAGACACGACATCCTGTATTCTGCCCATCGTGGGCAGGTGGGGTGGTATGTTGAGGTGGGGAGTGGTTTCGGAAGTTTGGGCTCTGGTGCCAACTGGACAGGAGAGGGGAGGGGAAGGAGGGGCCTCGAGACCTGCGTAGGGAGTGGGTCCTGTGCGCCCCTAGAGGGTGGGCAATGAAGGTTCTGGTCTGAGAACTCTGTGGGTCCAGGGGCAGTTGGAGCTGAGTCTGAAGCTGGGGAGGAAGGAAGGGAGGTCTGGACTGGAGTTGGAATTTGAGAACAGCCCATGTTTGTTAGGTGTTTGACGTGCGCTGGACCCTGTGTTGGGAGCTGGGGTCACAGGGGCTGGCTCTCTGCCTAGCGAGGGGCAGGCGGGCACACTGCACGGCTGTGGCAGGCGTGAGCACAGGGGCCTCCCAGGGTCCGTCTGAAGGAGTCCGGGGGCCTTTAAAAGCAGAGGTGTTGTTTGAGCTAAGCCTTGAAGGATCGCTAGGACCATCTGGGTGGTCAGCATGGTGGGGGGTGGGGGCAGAGCCTGTTGGCCAGGGCACGGCATGGCCTTCTAGATCTACACGTGCTGGCACCCAGTGTGCTCCAAGCAGTGTCGGGATGCCTGGCTGGGTTTTAAGCTCTCTCACATCTAAGAATTCACTGACTCGTCCCAGCATGCCTGGGAGGTGGAGACAGTTGTTGTTAGTTCATCTCTAGGAGGGTTCTGTTCCTCAGCCCAAGGAGCAGAGTCTTGTTTGCAGTGTAGGCAGTGGGCTGCAGGGTCTGTGCTGTAGCTGCCACGCTTCATGGGCTCTGGCTGAGCGAACCTGTGTGTTGAGGGGAGGGTGGCAGGGCTGGAGTGGGGAGTGTGAGGGCTGGTCCCATGTCCTGGGACCAGGGGCTAAAGTTGGTGGTGGTGTCGCAGGAGGAGTCTGGGGGGCGCTGTCCTGATTGTGCTGGTCATTTAGGATTAGGGTGATGGCCCAGGCAGGGCAAAGCAGGGAGATGGAGACAGGATGGGCAGGGCTGGACTGGAGTCATAGAGAAGGGAGACGACACAGAGCAACCTGTTGAAGGAGCTGTAGGCCTCCGGGCAGTGGTGGGGCTCCTAGACAGGGGTGGCTCTGGGGTTTGTCATCTGAAAGTGTCAGAAGGTACCTGGGTAGATGGGAGCGTTTCATGGATGGGCAGGGAGACAGGCCTGCGGGGGCTGCCTGCTGGGAGGGGTTGGGAATGACCTCTGTCCTCACCTGCAGGCCCGGCCGCCAGCTGCTCTGGGCAGAGTCTCTGATTTGGGACCCAGGGGCTGAGTTCTGCCAGAGGCGAGAGGGCAGCCCAGGAACAGGAACCTGCTTCCAACAGGCCCAGATCCAAAGAAAGATCTGTTTCTGAGACTGGAGCAGGGACAGAGAAGGGACTTAGAGGCCAAGGAGGGGATACTGCCAACACGTGTGGGCCAGGCCGATGCCCAGGGTCAGCAGAGAGCAAGGCTCCCACGGCACCCATCTGGGTGAAAGGAGCAGTTGCAAGCAGGGAGAGTTGAGCTGTGAGGGGAGGGAGTGGGGAGGCGGCCCTGGGTATCCTGGAGGCTGGTATAGAACACCAAAGCTATGGCTCTGGCTGGCATCCTCCCTCCTCCCCCTTTCTTTCCAGTACTGGGGGTGGGGGGGGGCATGCTGTGTGTTTTCATTTGAGCTGGCTTTTACGTGTCTGATTATAAAACTGGAAAATGAATTTGCGTTATGTAATAATTTGTGTTTGGTCGATAAATATAAAAATAGGAGTCCAGTGATCTGCAGAGGGTCTTTTTGGGGGGAGGGGTCCTTCTGCAGGCAGGCACTGTGAACATTTCCGAAGTTGGGTCAGCGTGGAGAAGGGTGTGGTGGAGGTGAGGAGAGGCCTGGCCTGCTCTGGCTCTGGGGACGGCAGGGTGGTGGGTGCAGGTGTGCTGCAGAGGGAGGAGAGGGTGTGAGCACTGGGGCGGTGCCAGTGAGATCAGACTATAGGCCATCAGAACCTAGGGGGCCTCCAAGGTGAATTTTCCTGCTTTATAAGGAGAGGGCCAAAAGGGACTGTCGAACATACTGAGAATCACACAAGTTAGTGGCAGGGTTCTGATATCCAGATCAATACTTTTCCTGATACCTGTGTCTTCTGATGTTAACAGGAGCTCTTCCTTCCATCCAGCCACTGCTCCATCTACTCTTTTTTTTTAATTTTTAAATTTTTGCCTGCGTTGCGTCTTCGTTGCTGCACGCAGGCTTTCTCTAGTCGCGGCGAGCAGGGGCTACTCTTTGTTGAGGTGCATGGGCTTCTCGTTGTGGTGGCTTCTCTTGTTGCGGAGCATGGGCTCTAGGCACGCGGGCTTCAGTAGTTGCAGCATGTGAGCTCAGTAGTTGCGGCGCGTGGGCTCTAGGGCACGCAGGCTTCAGTAGTGTGGCTTGCGGGCTCAGTAGTTGTGGCCATGGGCTCTAGAGCACAGGCTCAGTAGTTGTGGCATATGGGCTTAGTTGCTCTGCAGCATGTGGGATCTTCCCGGGCCAGGGATCGAACCTGTGTCCCCTGCGTTGGCAGGTGGATTCTTAACCACTGCGCCACCAGGGAAGTCCCTCCGTCTACTCTTTTTTTAAAAAATTAATTAATTCATTTAGTTTTGGCTGTGCTGGGTCTTTGTTGTTGTGCGCGGGTTTTCTCTAGTTGCGGCGAGCGGGGACTACTCTTCGTTGCTGTGTGCGGGCTACTCATCGCGGTGTCTTCTCTTGTTGCGGAGCACGGGCTCTAGGCGCACGGGCTTCAGTAGTTGTGGCTTGCGGGCTCTAGAGCTCAGGCTCAGTAGTTGTGGTGCATGGGCTTAGTTGCTCCACGGCCTGTGGGATCTTCCCAGACCAGGGATCGAACCCGGGTCCCCTGCATTGGCACGCGGATTCTTAACCACTGTGCCACCAGGGAAGTCCCCTCTGTCTACTCTTACATCCGTCTATGCTTTCACTCACCCACCCATCCTGTCATCCATCTACTCATCCATCAACCCACCTAGCAGACTCAGTCCATCCATCCCCTCCTTCCATCCATCCCCCCACCCCCCTACCCTGCTCTCTTTCACTCCATCCACTTATATATACATTTACCTTTTGATCCATCCTTCTGTCTATCTCTTGTTCCATCCATCCTTCCATCCATCCACCCACCCACCCACCCAGCCAGTTGTCCACCTGTCTGTCCTTCCGGTTGGCATTTGGAACGCCTGTTATGTGCCAGGTGCTGTGCTTGGTGCTAGGATCACAGAAATAACTGCGACGTGGTCCTTACCCTCAGGAGCTTACAGTTAGTGGAGGAGACAGTCGTCAGAATCATAGGTCCCCTCTCGGGCCTCCTTTCCTGCTCTCTCTCCTGCTCCCTCTGCCCCAGCTGCCCAGGCTGTTCACTGTCCCAGAAAGCCTTTACCCACACGGAGGGCTGCTCCCTTAGGTCCTCGTGCCTTTGTTCACCTCTCCCTTCCTGGGGAGGCCTTCACGTGACCACCTAGAATTGCAGCGCCCCAAACGGCTTCCTTTTTTCTTACCGCTTACCAGCATTCCACACGTTCTGTGTGTACCTGTTTCTCGTCTCCTCTCTCTCTTCATCTGTACAGTTTAGCCTGTAAACTCCGCAGGGTAGGGGGGCTTCGTTCTGTTCTCTGCTCCATTCTTGGAGCCTGGTACGTAGCAGGAGCTCAGTACGTACTTGTTGAATGAATAAATTGATCCTGAGGAATGCTAAGCTGGTAGAGAAGCGGGGAGGAGCTGAGGGGTGAAATTACAGGTGGTGGTGGAGCTGGAGACAGAGGTGCTGGGGGCTGGGGGCCAGGAGTGGGTGCGAGGGTACCAGAGAATCCAGTGTACGTGTACAGGCAGCTGGAGAAGTAAGCCTGGAGCAGGGAGGGTCGTGACTGGAGGTGCGGACTGGAACCTGCAGGCTTGCAGGACATCAGCGAGGCCGAGGGTGGGGCAGCTCTGCAGTGGCTGTGAGGAACTCTGAGATCAAGAGTACAGATGGGGATAAAGCTCTGTGGGATGCAGTGACAGCAGGATAGGGGGACCTAGCCCCCCATACATGGACCCCTCCCTGCCCATGCAGAGGTGGGGTCTGGAGCAGAGGACCCCATGGGGATGAGCATCCCTGTGGTGAGGGGTACGCTGAAGACACAGGGCCACCTCAGTGCCAGTTCACAGGGGTATGTAGCGTGACACTTGCGCATGACTGTGGGTCATGCACACACAGACATGCACATGTATGAGCACAGCACCTGCACGTGACTGCAGGTCACACACAGAGACACGCCTGTATGAACACAGCACTTACACGTGACTCCAGGCCACACGTGTGTGTGCGCACACCTTCTCTGCCCTTAGTTTGGGGGCTTGCTGACTCTCTCTGTGCTTGCCCTGGCCCTGTCCGGTCTGCTGTGTGCAGCCACTCAGGAGAAAGATGAGCCACAGCTCCTGCCCCTGTCTGGACCCTGACCCCTAGAGGCAAGAGTTCCTGCATGGTCCCCTCAGCCTTCTCACCTAGGACCGCTGGGCCCAGGACCCCAGGATTTGGACCCCCCCCCCGCACTTCCACATGGGCACTACCAGGCCAGGGGTGTGTGCATGCGTGTGCGTGTGTGTGTGCGCGTGTGTGTGCGCGTGCGGCTGGTGACCGGCGTGGGTCAGGGGGCGGTTCACGCCACTTGGAGGATGAGACCCTCCGTCAGCTCCTGAACCTCCCCTCAGAAACCCGGGAGGACCGGACGAAGCGACTTTTCCGCCACTACACGGTGGGCTCCTATGACAGCCTCTCTGCACACAGGTACAGGCGGGGCAGGTGGGCAGGCGGGCGAGGGTGGGCACGCGTGCGATGGAGCGTCAGATGTGGAGGGAGGCCTCCCGGGTGAGTCCAAGGACAGCTCCCAGGGTGGGCTGCGCCCGTGCCCGTGGCATCCTGTCTGGGGCACGTGCTTTCCTGGCAGGGTTCTCCTCACCTTTCTGTTTTCCTCTGTCAGCGATTATGTCATTGACGACAAGGTGGCTGTCCTGCAGAAACGGGACCACGAAGGCTTTGGTTTTGTGCTCCGGGGGGCCAAAGGTAACGGAGCGGGGTACCCGGCTGGCAAGAGCGGCGCACCACTCGGGGTGTCTTCTGTGTCCTCCTCTCCTCTGCCCTCCTCCTGCCGCGCCCCTGCCCCCCTTTGTTCTCCCCCACCCGCTTCCTCTCCCTGCTGTGACTCTGTATTCTTGGTTTGGGATGTTGGTAGGAGGCAGCAGGTCCTTTCCCTCATTGGTTCCCAGGATCTCTGCTGTGCGTGTCTAATGGAGCGGGGGCCTTTCTGGTGGGGTGAGTGGCGGGGGCGGGGGGGGTCTCTCAGAGGGGTGTGCCCTGGATTCCCGGGCTGGCTCTTCTCGCGCTGGGCAGCCCCCGCCTGCCGCCCCCCGGCCCAGGTCGTTCGTGGGAGGTTGCTGTGTGGCAGCCACCTCCACCTGGACCCTGCTGGCAGGACGCCGTCCTTATTGCCCTCTCCCCGTCCCACAGCAGAGACCCCCATCGAGGAGTTCACGCCCACGCCGGCCTTCCCGGCGCTTCAGTATCTCGAGTCGGTGGACGTGGAGGGCGTGGCCTGGAGGGCCGGGCTTCGCACGGGGGACTTCCTAATCGAGGTGAGGCTCGTCCTTCCCTGTGCGGCCCCGTGGGGGGCTGGCCTCCGTCCGAGCCCGAGGAGGACTCACCTGGATGGCCCCCGGGCCCTGACTGTCCCAGGTGAATGGAGTGAACGTGGTGAAGGTCGGGCACAAGCAGGTGGTGGCTCTGATCCGCCAGGGCGGGAACCGCCTCGTCATGAAGGTGGTGTCAGTGACAAGGAAGCCCGAAGAAGATGGGGCTCGGCGCAGAGGTGAGGGCTCGGGCCCCGGACCTCTGTGCCCGGTCTCCCCGCTCTGTCCCCTGACCTTGACCTCTGACCCCAGGCCCATGCTCCTCTCATCACCCCCGGCCCGAGACTGCTGACTGCTGACGTCAGAGGCCTGAACCCAGGCGAACGCCCACGTGCGCCGCCTGGGTGCCGATCCCCGATGTCAGACAGCCAACCCTCTCCCGGCCTCTGACCCCAGGTTGCCCTCCTAAGATCCCTGCCCCCTCCTTCCCGGCGCCCCCCAGCCCCTGGCATGGAAGAGCCGTCCTTCCCGACGCTGCCGGCAGCTGCCTGGAGGCCGGGGTTGCCATAGCAACTGTGAGGTTGACGCTGCCGCTGCCGCTTATTGTCGGAGGGAAGGGGGAGGCGGCACCTGAGGGAAGAGGAAAAGCGTCTTCTCCCCGCGCCAACGTCGCGGCACAGCCTGGGCCCAGGGGCTTTGCCGGCCGGGTCTAGCCCAGCCCAGGCCCTGGCTTGGCTGACCACGCCCCGGTCCCGCGAGGGGCAGCGGCCTCCAGGCCTGGGGGGGGGCGGCGCTGGGGCAGCAGGAGCCCGGCCTGCCGGGAGACCCCTCCCAGCCCCCGCCCCATGACTCTGCCCTCGAGGCCTTCCGCGTGGGCCCTCGGGCTGAGGCTGGCCCGCGCTGTGGCCCCCCTGCGGCCCTCGCCCGCCGCCCGCGGCGCCCCCGAGCCCCCAGCGCCATGAAGTTTGCGTCCAGCCGCGGCCTGAACAAGCTCCTGGCGCGGCGCGACTCGGCCTCCCGGGAGCACGAGGAGATCCAAGCGGTGGAGCGCAGGTGGCACCTGCGCCTGGCCACGCCGCGCTGCCTGCTGCTGGACAGGAGGTCCAAGGCCTCCCTCTTCCTTGCAGCCCCGCCGCCCCCTAAGAGGGCCCCCAGTACCACGCTGACCCTGCGCTCCAAGTCCATGACGGCGGAGCTTGAGGAGCTCGGTGAGTGGCAGGGCAGGCGGTGGGCAGACGGCCCGGGGCGGGGGGGGGGGGGGGCGGGGCAGGGGCTCTGGGCCAAAACCAGGCAGAGACAGAGGGGAGGGAGGACGGAGAGGTGCATGTGTGGACAGGTTAGAGGTACGTGGGTGGGTGCGGAAGTGGCGGGGGAATTGGGTGTCTGTGGGCTGAAAAGGGAGCTGACGTGTGGACGGATCGAGGGCTGAGGGGGAAGGGTGGCAGGGCTGGGGATAGACAGTGGGACCACCATGTCTGGCGGTGGGGAATCAGGCCCTGGCTCACCGGTGTGTTTGCACGCGTGTGCACATGCAGCCCCTGGTCCTCCACACCTCCAGTACGACTTTACGCCTTCATTTCATCCAAGTGAGAAAAGGGGACCTGACCTTTGCCCCCGGCTCTGCCAGGCACTAGCCGTGCGGTCTTCGCATTTCCTTTACCCTCTCAGCAGCCGTTCACACGTCAGTTACGCAGGGGTCAGTAGAGTGAGCTGCCGACCTCACGGGGGCCGTTGTGAACGTTGCTGGTACAATGATGGGACAGGTCCTCGTAAGTTGCAGGAGGCAAACAAGAGTGTGTTGGGGCTTTGACGGGTATGTGGGGGGCACGATTCCAGGGTGACCACCAGCATCCTCATCATGCGTGTGTCTCGATATAGGTGACTGTTAATAGCCTCATCATTGGCATGTTCAGATATACATGACCGTGTCCTGACATACGTGACAGTTAATAATGGTTATGCCCTGACTTACACGACCATGAATATCTTTATCGTGGCATGTCCCAATGCACATGACTGTTAACGCGCTCTATCCTTCTATAACCCGAACCCAATTCGAGTCCCGGACTTCGCTCTCGTTCCAGCCATAGAAGGACCCCTGACTCTGGTCCTGTGCTGAGCTCTAACCCAGTCGTGGGCACAGGAAGGGCCTTGATCCTGGTTCTAGACTGAGCCCCAACCCTGGCTTCAGGCTTGGTTCTGCCCCAGCCATAGAAGGAACCCTTACCTGTCCCCTAAAATTATTTCTGACCTCCCTCATGGACTGATCCCTGACCCTAGACCTTTGCTGAGCCCTTCCCTTCCAAGCAGGTACTCTTTTTTTTTTTTTTTTTTTTTGCGGTACGCGGGCCTCTCACTGTCGTGGCCTCTCCCGTCGCGGAGCACAGGCTCCGGACGCGCAGGCTCAGCGGCCGCGGCTCACGGGCCCAGCCGCTCCGCGGCATGTGGGATCCTCCCGGACCGGGGCGTGAACCCGCGTCCCCTGCATCGGCAGGCGGACTCCCAGCCACCGCGCCACCAGGGAAGCCCTAAGCAGGTACTCTTGACTGCAGTTGAGTTCGGTGTGGAGGACGGCCGCCAAGAGGGATTAGGCCGATGTGGTCAGGACCTTCTTCCCCGTAAATACTCTGAATAAAGTGAAACCCTAACAATACGTGCAGCCATCTCAGAGCGAGAGGGACTTCCCAGTTCTCAAAAATGAAGAGAGAAATCAGAGCCGAGGGAGTGAGAGGAAGCAGATGCTCCCATAGTGCATGAGGGCTTGGGACCCATACAGATCCTGTGGGCAGGGCACTGGGGCTCTGATACCCCCACAAAGCCAAGCGATGAGGAAAGTAGAGCCAAGCCCAGGACTTGGAATTAGCATCAGAAGAACTGGGAACCGTAGAATGCTATGAAAGAGACAAAACAAGGTGTTTAAATACAAAGTTTGAGAGAAATAACAGAACTCATAATGAAAGAACAACACAGTGCGGGGGGGAAAATAAGGATAAGCAGATTTAAAAAGGATTCCTAAAGAAATGTTATTGAAACAAAAGTATAGCCCCTGAGATTTAAAAAATCCGTGCCTGGGAAACAGTATGGTAGACCCACCTGAAGGAAGAAACTATGAATTAAAAGATACATCTGAGGAAACTACCCGAAATTCAGCACAGAAAGATAAGGAGATGCAAAATATCAAAAGAGTAGATAAAAAATATGGAGGACAACTGAGAAAAATCCCAGCCTAAATAGAGTCCCAGAGAGAAAGAGCTAAAAGACTGGGGAAGAGGCAATATTTGAAGAGTAAATGGCTAAGAATTTTCTAAAATTGAACTAGGACGTGAGACTCCAGTTTGCAGGAGTGTAAGTCTGAAGCAATGAAGTAAAAACAAAGCTACCCCTAGACCTGTCATAGTAAAATTTCACAACACCATAGACGAAAGGAAAAATCTTAACTGCCAGAGAATGATGACTTAGAAAGGAACGGGGGTCGGAATGACAGCGGAGGTCTGATCAGCAGATGCTAGAAGACAGTGGAACAGTAACTTCAAAGTCTTGGGTCAAAATGCCTTTGCGCCTGGAATTCTATGCTTAGTAACCTCGCTCATTCAAGAGTAAGGCAGAGAAGCTCCGGGCCCTGGGGTCACAAGGGTGCAAGGCTAGTCATGGGGAGCTGACCCAATGCACTGATTGAAGATCCAGACTGGTCAATAAACCAATACCAGTGGGCAGCTGGGGCTGGCTAGACCCCACAGCAGGCTCTGGTGGATGGTTCCTGGGAGTCTCTTGCCAGGGGCCGTCACGTGGCCACGTTCAGCTGCACGTTCAGAAAGAGGTGCTTGGGCAGCCTGAGGTCTGTCATCCGGGGACCCAGAGGCTCTGCGCTGCAGGAACAGAAGGTCTGCCTCCTGCCCTCTGGGCTGCTTCCGTGCGCAGAGACTGGTGGATGGAAGAAGAGCCTCCTTCCTCCCTGGCTGGGCGTCCCCTCCGTTGCCTGGTGACGGGGTTGCTCCACAGAGCCCTGTCTTCCAGAGGGAGGGGGCTCACTCTTGCAGCCCGAGGTCAGCATCCCTTTCAGCAGCTTTTCCTGAGCAGAGTCTGGGGGAGGGCGAAGGGACAGCCTACCACAGAGCCTCCATCCACACTGCTGAGTGAGCAGGTCACAGCTCTTGTTGAACTGGACCCAGGCCCTTCCCATGGCTCTGTTCAGAGGAAACCCACAGGAAACCCACTCCTGCCCCTGGACGACAGCTGTCCTGGGAAGCCAGTCCACCTGCCGACCTTCTGTAGACACACCTGGTTTGAGGAAGCCAGGCCAGCATCAGGGTTTTCCCAGGTACCTAAGCGATCATCCCATGATCCAGTGTTTGTGCTTTTACGGGATAGAAGTAAGACCCGTGGGTTCGTTGCCAGCATAAACGTGTCAGTTTTATGTCACGATATCGAGGGCTGATAGGGCCCTTTAGTGTCTGTAGTCTATTGAGAAGATGACCTGAACACCTGAGAAGAAAGGAAAATGTGAGGCGACAGAAAAAGCAGGTGGCAAGGATGGGGGCTCACGCAAGGTGGCTCCCTGTGGCTTGGAGGGCCCTTCCTGGGGAAGAGGAAGGGAAGGTGTATCCTGGGGCGGCACTGGTGTCCCAAAAAAAGGAAGGGCTGAGGTGGCTGTGGCAGAAACGGCATTAAGAGGAGGGGCTGGGGGGGACTCTCCCCCCGAGAGGGAGGAGGAGGGAGGGTGGGACCCCTCTAGTGCCCTTCAGCCCTGGGGCCCCTCACACTCAGCAGGTGCTCCTTGCATAGCTCGAACCAAGGGCGTGCTGGGGCTGCAGAGGTTGGTGGAGACCCAGGCCAGAGGGGCCCTGATGGGTCCAAGCCCCTCCTGTCCATCCTCTTTCCCCTAAGAAATCTGGAACTTCTGGGTTCCTTTTTCTTTCGAGATGAGAATGTCAGGGCAGGTGCCATGCCAGCCAGGGTGTGGTCCCTGACTGGCCTTGGTCTGGAAAACACGCTGACTTGCCTGTTGTTGGGAACACACTGC